CGATCTCATAATTATTTTTTAATAAATCAAAAAATGGTGTCACAAAACCCAAATATTGAATATTTTGAGTGTTGAACAAAGTGATCTTGCATTTATTTTGTTCAACAAGTATTCTTGCAGAATTTAATTGATCATTCTCATCACAAATATACTCCTTTTTTAAAAAATAGGACCACCATGCGTGAACTTGTTTTTGAGTTAAGTTTGGATTTTGTTGTTCCAATTGCTTAAAAATATCTGCGGGTGTAAGATGAATATTCTTCTTTATTTCAGCTTTAATATCATCAGACGTATTAAACCGATCTGGACGCTTATGAAGTAAATTATGCTGAAGATCAATTGTTGCTATGTTTGTTTCCATATTAAGTACTATTTTTAAAGTACCATTACAGGAAAATCGTTCAATATATCCTCTATCACGCTGTTTATGGAAATTTTCATGCTTTCGTGGACGCTTAGCTAATGTGCAACTTTGAGAACAATTGTACGAAAACGTATATTTATTATGATCTTTTTCAGACTTATAGACATTATGATAACTACAAATAAATAAATATTATCGTTATTACATATTATTATTATTGACAAATATATATATTACTTACATATAATAGTATCCATCGGCAGATCCTACGATTTCGGCAATTTTTTTTCCAAGTTCATGGGGTTCACTTTTTAGTAAAACAGTTGATATTTTGCACGAAAAATCTATGCCGGAATTTTCATTTTCAACATATTCATTATTTCCAATCTTAAGAATATGTTCAAATAATTTTTTTTTCATTTCATTAGGTTCAATAGGACCTTGATCGTAAGGCACATTTTCATTAGGTTTTGTAGCATAGTAGGTATTTAAATTTTTTTGCCGACATTCATAACATATTTTTGTAGGTTTTCCGGTTTTACTGATAAAAGCAGTTTGTTCAAAGCTTTTGGAACATCGATCACACTTGTGCATATTAAAAATTCACTCGTTATTTCGCAAAACAAGAATTTTTTTTTTACTTCAACTAATATTTTTATTATATACTGGTGATAAGTAAAATGATTTAAATGTAACACAACAATTAAATGTTTCAGTATGTAATAATGATACGTAATTGAACTTCGTAATTGCTACATAGTAAAATACTATTGGTCAGAATGTAGTACCGAAAATCACGATTAAGAATATAAAATTTGTACTA